GAAACTTCTGATTCAGAGGCAGTTTCATATAACATTCATATTGAATGATACATCCTTGGAAGACTTTTATCAACTTTGAGAGGCCACTTGTAAGAAATGAGTGCGTTTTGGACGAATTTTGGATAAAAAATTTCCAAAACTTTTTTAATCAAATCTATTATACCTTCTACAAAATCATTGACAGATTTTTGAATAATTGCTATATCATTGTCATAAATAAATTGTAATCTAAATTAACATAAAAAATGATTAATCACTTAATAAAAAAAAGAAGTGAGTTCTTCTCAACCACCTACCTATGGATCTGATGATCTTAACACAAAAGTTTGTCAGACTTTGCAAGAACTCCACAGCCTAAATGTTCATTTACCAATTAACAAACTTTTGGATGGGACCCGCTCTTCATTTTTCGGCCGCATTGAAACTCATCAATCCAGCTATCCTTCAGGAAAGACTTGAATTGCTGAATGAATGACACTTATGGTCAAATTGAGAGGGAGGGAGGTTTGCTCTCTGAGATTACTTGGGAACATTTGCTTGCAAATACGTCGTCTAGGCTTATTAGGCAATATGTGGCAGCTAAACTGCCTTTGTGCCGTTACCGGCTTCGTAATCCCTTATATTTGCTCTGTAAGATCATATCATGAGCATTATCACAAATTAAGCAGATCTCTTAAAAAGTTATGCTACTCCTTTTTAACATCGTAATTGGCTGATACCTCTGCTACATTGTATTGCATGCATATCAACGTATATGCAAATGTTTAAATTTATATAGTTATATATTCGGCTCTTCACTTTTGCATACGTGCATAATCTTATGTTTTATGTATTATTTACTTATATCTGATATACATATGGACATATCGGATATAGGTAGTCGAGCAAGGCTATACGAATATGTTTATATCTACACATCTTGGTTTAACATATATATCCTCTGTCTAAGTACCAATGTATGGAATATGTTCCTTTTTAGATCGCATGTAAGTTCTTCTGAGTAAGGAATACATTCTTTTTTAAGTCGCATGTAAGTTCTTCTGAGTATGGAATACATTCTTTTTTAAATCGCATGCAAGTTCCTGCAAGTGTATAAATCTATCTATTCTAAACGGCTGATTTGAAGTGCTTACAGAATGTCCTTTATCCAGAGTTTCTACATAACATCCATCCATTCATACGTGTAATAGAACATGACTCATTGAAACGACTCTCTTGGAAAATGCTATCTCTACGACTTACTCACCAAAGTCCAGCCCTTCCTATTACTACTCGTTCACGTTTCATTAATTACGACAATGTACAAAACTGACTTATTTGAAAAGAGGAACGACATTTTCTTCACATTGCATCCATAAATTGTCAGGCAGATCGGAAAAGCGTTGTGCCAATATTTTGAACGAAAAATTTTCACACAATGCACGAACATTTTTCTATACAAATATTCTGGTTTCATATTTACGTACGTGATAGAAGAAGAATGTCATTAGTATGGAAGCATGTCTTTGCAAATTCACTAACTGAATACGAACCAGATCAGCGCGATACTGCAAATTGGTATACTCACGTTGACTAGACGTGTGTACATTCTATGCGAAAACCCCCGCTTCTTATATACATGTCTGCTATCCTGGGGTATTGCATGCTTATTTTTTGCATCTGTGGAATCCGAGATATCTATTTTAAAATTTTATAATTAAAAATTATTTTCACAGTGTGTATTGACGAATGTTTTTCCGGGTGGGAAAAGATAAAACAGAATTGTTATGTTTTCAAAAGAATTAACTTTGCCTCATATTCAAAATGGATTGCATTCACCCAGAGAATAGCACCCTCTCAAAAAGGAAAAAAAAACATCAAACAGCTTGAGAAGCAATGAACTAAAACAGGAAGTAAATTCTTTTTATAACTAAGTTAAACTTGTTTCACGCTTGCATGAAGCCTAATGCGTTTGTACATAAAAAAAAAAAATAAAAAAAATTTAAATCATGGGTAATTGCAGAAATGCGCTACAAGCACTCAAATGCGTACAGTTTCCTCTTTAAAAAAGAAAAGCAAAAAATATTTATATAAGCAATAGCAAAAATTCCTTCATTGTGCATTAGAGCTTGTAGGGGATGTAAACTTTAAGAAAATTATATTTAATATATTATATATTAATAGCAGAGGCTTCATATAGCCTTTGATGTTAATTAGAAAACGATCAGTGGTCCAGTGATAAAATTAATTCCAATTCAATTTCATAACACGCTCTCATGAACACTCTCTTTCCTTCATTATTAACGCTTGCAAAGATTGATGCAAAAATACAACATGTATTGTGCACGCTCTTATACGAATATGAAAACAGACAAGCGAGGGTGCTTATTAGGCTTGTTAAAAAGACTAGGAAAAGCGCAAAGTTCATACCATCGATCTGTAGGATCATTTTTGATCAGACCGCTCGTCTTTTGCCTTCCACTCTTCCCTGCATGCAATCATTCAATTAACTATCCATTTTGTCCCCTCACTCTTTATTAATTATTTATTATCGTACAGGACACAACGGTGTATTAAGTTTGTGCGAATGTGTCTAACACCCAGAAGGGCTTGAGATAGACCCATCTTTTGTTATACCGATCGACTCGGAGTCACTTTCTGAATCTATGTAAACTGGTCTGTCCGTCTGTCCGTCTGGTGTTCTTGAGTTTTGGATGAAATTTTGTACACCGACAATGACAAACGCTCTCGAGGATGTTTCGAGTTGGAATACTTTTTGGACCACTTCCTACATAACGCCTTCCTTTGAAAAGTTATTACAGGGATAACTGTGGGATCGTGTAGAGTATTTAACGGCACGTTGTGTTTCACTGTAGGGTTTTTTAATTTTGTTTTATTCATTTAGTTATTAACACGTATACAATCTTGAAGCCGTTGAAGCTAATATTTACCACTGCTTTCTAAATGTTCAATCATGTCATTAAATCACTCACTCATGTCACTTATAATTACTAAAAAGTTTCCTCTTATTTATAGATTTGCCTGAGATGTTGTATATAACAAATATTCAGCGCAAGATAATGTGTTTTCCTATACACATATTTTATACATTTTAAAATACCTATAAACCGGCGATGGTATCTCAATATTAGTCTCAATAAAAAATTTTTTATTTTTCATATATCTTTCATTTTCAATGAAAGCTTCTAAGTTGAAATCCTTTTTTCTCTCCCCTTCCAAATTACTATTAAAAATTGCGTAAACAGCACTTTAAAGCACTTTATGTCATCGAAGCCATTATTGAGCGTATGGTAAACAAATAATTTAAGCACACGCATCCAGTCACATCAAAGGTTTTATTGTTCGTTATATATGCGTTTAAGGTGCGTTTCTAAAATCCATTATTTTGGACAGTATATAGGAAACGAAGAAAAATGGAAAGATTATTCTTTGCTTAGACTTAATAACTTGATACACCTTCTCTCCCTTTCTCTCTCTCTCTCTCTCTCTCTTACACACACCTATTATAAACGTATTTCGTCATCAAAAAGAAGATAAAAATGAAAAGAAATTCTAACAGGACGTATAAGCAATTCATTTCAATTATTAGACCACTAGAGATTGATACAATAAATGATTACCCCTAAAGGTAGGCAAGCAAAATTTGTCAAAAACGATAATAGTTGCAATGAGATCGGAAATTCAACTACCACAACTGTTAGAGGGAAAGAAGAAATCTAATTTTAAAAAGTAAACTTAAGAAGGCAGAGTCAATAGTAAATAGTAGTTATTACTGTCTAATAAGCAATAGATTTTTCGTCTATCTAAAGCAATTTTTTTTAAATTCTAACCTTGGCAGTGTCTTTCAGTACCTATCGCATACATCAAGAAAATATAATTGGTGAAATATCGTGATGAAAAGTCGATCGGTTTATGCCTACGCATGTGTTAGCGATTCGGTTTACTGCGGGGTATATCCAAATAGTTTTCGCAACATATTTAAAAGTATTTTTTATGAGGTGAATAGGGACCGGATAAACGCACAAAAAAAGACCGCACAAAAACAGATTTGAGTATATTTATTTAGGGTTAGAGTGTTGAGTTGGTAGGATGCCATAAATAATTCCAATAGAGCTCTAAAAATTGATGTTCAAATTAAAGTTATTTTTAACTCGATGGTGAATTCTCCATATATAACGTATATGTGTATGTACGTTGTGCATATGTACGTTATGTAAATATATAAACTTTCACTAATTTTATATTTCTTTGTTGATTATGGTTTATAAACATGTAAAATAGATTCAATTATTACTTTTTTTGTTGTAGAACGTGTCCCCTAAATATTGGGATAAATGTTTCCATCTTATCTCTCTTGGAACAAAATACCGCTTCACACTTTAGAGATTCGAAACATTATACAATCAAATGTCAAATGAATAAAATAAAAAGGTACCTGCATGGAGAGGACTTGAACTTTATTATATAGAAGAAAAAAACCTAGAAAACTAAAGAAAAGATTTACAATCCAACTTTGTGTGGGCATGGCCATTTTTCCACATAAATCGCAAAGTAAATGTGGATTACTTCCGTCTTCTATTTTTCATAATTTATGAATAACGATTAAAAACCTAGAACTTTTTGTTTAGAAAAACGGAAGTGTGTTCAGTTTACGCTTCTCAGTTAATTAGATAATACATTTTTTTAAAAATCGGGGAGGGATCCTTGGAACGAATTTGTTGGCTTCAATATAATTGAAATGAAAAATTTTGTTTTTCTAAACGTCATGTGAGGTTGCAATAACGATTTCAATAAATCATAGGGGAATTTGCCACAGCTCCCACGACTTAATAATACAAACTCGCTTAAAAGCGTTACAAAGTGATTATAATTAGGAATAAAATCGAACGCCTTTATAGAATAATGAACTTGTCGGAAATGAAACATTAAAAATGATTAGCACAAACTTGATCACTTCATTTACTTAATTTGACATTTATCGTTGCCAATACAAACAAACAGTTGTCATCTGTTTTTGCTTTGGCTGTTGTGCATGAGAGTAATTTCAAGCTGCATAGCCGAAAATTTCTTTACACCACCAACTTGCAAAAATTTTTGTTCAATTAAAAATTAGTTAATTCGGATACTTTTGTAACTAAATTATTTTTGTAAAAAAAAAAATGATAAGTGCTGTCTCGCGTGCGTATTTACGGGCCAATGTACAAGCCGTGCCCAATAGCCTTAAACCAGCTGTATTGGGAACAGCTCAGGGCAAAAAAGTGGTCGTGGCTCCTTGCACGGATAAATCTGTACCCGTTGGTAATACAAGAGCTACTATGGGCCTACAAAGTGATTATTAGACCAATTTGCCATGTTTTTATAGAAATCAAAGTGATATTTGGAATAGTTATTGCGAAGAAACTAGGGAATTTTCTCTAACATTATGTAATTATTTTTAAGGTTAAGTTCCTCTCTCTATTTAGAAAACTTACTGAGAGAAAATAGGAGAGAATGAATGATAGTTAAATTTAAAAGCAAAACAAAACAAACAAAAAACCAGACAACGTTTTAATCAAAGAAACATATAATTTCAGCCGTTCATCAAGTGCGTTTGGCCCATAGTGACTTAGAAGTTCCAGACTTTACACCTTATCGTCGTGAAAATGTTAAAAATGCGAACCGCCGTAACGATAGCGCGGAGCAACGTAAAGCTTTCTCCTACATGTTAGTAGGCGCCACTGCTGTCGGTAGTGCTTATGCCGCCAAAGCATTAGTGAATACATTTGTTAGTTCAATGAGTGCGTCAGCCGATGTATTGGCTATGGCCAAGATTGAAATCAAATTGGGCGATATTCCAGAGGGAAAATCAGTCACATTTAAGTGGCGCGGTAAGCCCTTATTCATTCGCCATCGTACTGGTGCAGAAATCGAAACTGAACGCAATGTACCCGTTGCCACCTTGCGAGACCCCCAAAGTGATGATGTAAGTTGTAAGCTATTTAGAAAATAATGTATATCAAATTTATATTCTCGGCGTTTGTTTCAGCAACGCGTCACTAAACCTGAATGGTTGGTGGTAATTGGTGTCTGCACGCATTTGGGTTGTGTACCTATTGCTAACGCTGGTGATTTTGGTGGCTATTACTGCCCCTGTCACGGTTCTCACTACGACGCTTCCGGCCGTATACGCAAAGGACCCGCACCTCTGAATTTGGAAGTACCTACGCACACTTTCCCCGATGAAGGCACTTTGGTTGTGGGTTAATTCATATTATGTAGCATATGATTCTCATCATGTGTAAGTTATAAGAGAAAAAAAACATCTTAGTAAAGGAATGATTAATTAAAATAATGTCTGTACTCACTTTACTGTTATTTAAATGTTAAAATAGATACAATAAAAATCTGAAAACGCAAGTGGTAACGATTGAAAAAATAAAGAAAAACGATGAAAAAACCCGCTATAAAACAACACCAAATTTATAGTAAAACATTCTCATAAGGTATGCCTTCTACTACCGGTATATTTTTAGAAGAAAATTTTTATCTTCTTAAGTCGAGTAGGAAATCGCTGCCATTGCTAACAGTTTCTTACATACAGGATAATTGCAAATACAATTTTTCTAGATCAATCATCCGACCTATATAGCAATCCTCAATCATTTAGAATTTGTAATTGCAGTAGATCTACTACTACTGCTGAATACTGCTTGCGTATTAATAAAAGGTAGTACTGGCAACACTCACTGCCTGACAGCGTGAGCAAAATCTTCAGCTGTATTTCAGCACAAATCAGCTGGTAATATTCACTGCGTACTCTTGAAAAAAATCGGCAACATGGCTCCGCGTCGAAAACTTAATAAAAATATCCTACTTATGGATAAGCAAATAATAGATTTTGTTAAAGAGCATCAATTTGTTTACGATAGGAGTCATGAGAATTTTAATAATAACATTTACAAAGAAGACAAATGGAAACAATTGGCCGATTCATTGGATGAACCAGGTAAGGCATTTTTACAATATACTTAATGGTAAATAATATTTAATAATATTTTTCTTTTTAGTGGAATTGATTAAAAAACGTTGGAAAACATTAAAGGACCGTTACTTCAGATTAATGAAAAATGGTGGTGTACAAAATTATAAATATTGCCATGATTTAAATTTCTTGGGCCCCTACGAACCGCGCAGAAGGTTTTTTTTTCTTGTTTGCTTTTGGGTTTTTCATATAATTTAGATATGCTTTTTAGGAGTATAATCCGTTGTAAAAAAGAGGAAAACTATGAAGACAATAGTCAAATGGATGAATCACTGGATAGCTCCCATAGTCCCGTAAGTCCCAATTATTTATTATAAAAATACAACAAATTTTAGTTTCAATATAACTTTATTATTATTATTATTATTTTAAGTTTAGACTAATGAATTGAATTCTTAGACTAAAAAAAACTTTAAAAAACTTTCACCAAGCATTTATTATAAAAATACAACTGATTTTGATTTCGCTTTATTATTTTACAGGTAGATGGTGATATGTTTGAAAATAATTATACATTGAGCATAACAAGTTTGGCAACGGAAGATGCTAAACCAACCAAATTAGAAAATCATAGTATTGTATGTGAAGAAGTTGATGAAATTGCGCTAGAAGATGTACTGCAAATGCAACCAAAGAAACGATACGCAGACACCTATGCGGAAAGCAAACCGACCAAGTTAGAAAATGAAAGCGTCGTATGTGAAGAAGTTGATGAAATAGCGCTGGAAGATGTACTGCAACTGCACCCGAAAAAACGATTCAAACCCTCCTCTCTTGGAGATACAGCCATATCTCATTTCATGCATAGCTTGGCTTTGCAAATTGAAGGAGCAAACCTCAGTGCCAGCCGCTTAATAACGCTACAATTAAAACTGTTACAGGTCGTCGGTGAGGAGATAAGAAATTGAGGAATGATATTTGGGAGAAAAGCAGTGGAAATCGTAATCATGCAAGCATTTAATTTTAAATAAATATTAATCTTTTCTTCGCTTTGATTTTCCCTGCGCAGATTGTAGGCAATAGTAATAAATTAATAAAAAAAAATTAATGGCTACGCTGCCAGTGTAATAAGTATAAACTGCGAAATTATATAACTCAATAATATGAGGGCTACTTATGTTTGGGAATGAGGCTGATTCGTAAGTAGATAGCTTAATGTTTGCAAAAACTTTAAGTAGATGAATGGGAATACGCATGGAATATTGAATGTTTCATCGACTTTTTTTGACGAAATCAAAGTAAGTTTTAATCGATAAAAACAGGGTTAATTATTTCATTATGCTCTTATTGTGTAAAAGCAATTATTGGGACACTATGTTATTCACTTAGTTTTGTCGTGATTTAAACTAAGGAAACTTTTTATTTTATATAATTATTACAATTTACTTAGAGCAAAGAAGTGAATTCTAGGACTAGAAGTAGGGTGGACACTAACGTTCTTGTTTTCTTTTCTTTTTTAATGTAGATTAGATAGCGAACCATTTTATTGACATTAAGTTTTCCATTGGCTTTCTTGTAAACTTTAGGCGTTCTCTTGGTAGTCAAGTTTCTTTACCTTCGTTCAAATTAAATATATGTAATACAAAATAAATGTTTTATATATTAATATCGTTTCCAGGCCTGCGAATATAAGCGAGGCTTCATTATCTTTTCGGCCAAAGGTTGTTAGGACAATGAAGCTTCGCCTATATTCCAGGGCTGGGAATGTGCTTAGATTATAAATTCATGAATCTTCACATATGTTTATATATAAATACATGATTTATAAGTTTGTAAAATTTATAAAATTTACAGGTTGAAAATCTTTTCCGGACGTGAAAATATAAGCGCAGCTTCATTCAAACCCGGTCCTTCTATTACTCTCAGATGCTTCCAAATTCAGAGTCGATCAACTCACTTAATGGCACTATATAAACCTAGATATCCCAAAGATATCGGCTAGTGTATTAGAGGTCCTAGAAATGAACATAAACGATATTAGATTTCAACTTCCCAGCAGGCATTCATTTGAAACTAGTATTTTCATCGCTGCGCTGGGAAAAAGCTAGAAATTTTAACAGAAACCAATTTTTGCGGGCAATTAATTTTTTCTCACACTCTCTGCAAGGTTCAAAGTATGTCTTAAACCAAAGAAAATTTGGTGTTACCTGGTAACAGTGATTAAACATGCCCCACACTGAGAGGATAACGTTGTGGTATTTAAGGGTTTTCAACTCTTCCCTTTATTATGTTACTTAATTACAAAAACATATGTTAATGGATTTAGCAACTCTGACCGTATTTTTGTGTGGAATGTAGTAAATTTGTCTTTGTTCTATTTTGTCATTTATGAATTTATTTGATTTTTGGAGAATGGATAAAAATTTAACTCTTGGCAGCTCTTGTTTGCGAAGCAGAAACAGAAAGGCTAAAGATCTGGAGTAATAAAGACACAATCCTAAGAACAATAAGCAAATAAATTTACTATTAGAGATTTTTTATAAAAGATATAAGAATCTTAACACAAACATACAAAGAAGTACCGAAAAGTTTTTTTGTATTATAAATTTTTTAAAACATTAACGGGGAAAAATGCTTCAGAAATTTATCTTTTATTATTGAAAAAAAAAAGAAAATAATATATATAAAAAAAGCAAAAATTCTTTGTGCGAAGCGATAAATGTGGAGAGAAAAATATTTTTGTACACATTTATAAATATATGTATTTTTACATGCAAATGCAAGGATAAATCTGAAAGTATTAAATAAATGTGTCTTTTTTGTTTTTTTTTTTTAAATAACAATCTGTGAGAATAAAAAGTATTTTGTAAGCATTTCTTGGTAAGATTTAGGAAAATTAGAAAAGAAAAGAATCATAAACAGTGGTAATATTTGCTTAATAGAAACAACAGTAAAATAACAGTAAAAATTACAAGATATTTTGTGAACTATATAAACATTTTACCTATGCGGATACATATGTAAACATATACAAAATTGGTGTAGCAACAAATCAACTGTAAACAAACACAAAACATATAAAAAACCGCACAAAAACAAGAATCATTTTTTTTCTTGATTTTTCTCTTATTAATTTTTTTTATCCTATTTTCTTTTGCTTGTAATACATTTCGTTTTATTAGTCAATAATTTGATTTGAAAGGAAAATTTTGTTTATATTTTTAATTTGTTCCATTCTGTATTCGATTCATCTATAAATATATTCTGCATGATTCTTGGTCAATTATTGCAGTGTTCCAATCTCTATGAGCACTTGCTACAATCACAACAAAACTTTGCACAATTATTCGCTGAATTCCCCTGTATTGCCTTTGATCGACAATATCTAGTATACATTGTAACGAACATGTCAACGGCATTCCTAACCGCTATTGCGGTTATACTCTGCATACTATTTCGTATATTGAATGTAAATAGTCAGCCGCTGAAACCTTCGGTATGGTGCCTGGATCAACAATTTTTGGATACCCTATACAAAATTGCGCCAGTATTAAAAGAGCCGTAAGTACATTGTAAGAAAATACAAAAATTGTGAAAAAACTTTGAAAAATGTAGGTACAACTTTAATGCCGACGGTCGTTAAATAACGGTGATAACATGTTTATTTTCTTTTATTGAAAAGTGAGTCACTGAGTGTGTGCGGTTATTAATCCATTAGTTTTGGTTTACAGGCAACTAACAATTTTATGGTCACGAAATAAGTTTCTAACTTTATAGACTTCAGATAATGCTTTCGCAACATTCGCCAAGGCTTGCTCATATTATTTTGGAAGGTTACAAGCGGACTAAAATTATGTGTCTGCCCGACTTTCTCGATTGTCAGCGACAGCAAACCTTGAGTCGCATAACTTACAATTTTTATGCATTTTCAGGTTGATTCCGATCAACTTAGAGTAGTTAAAAAACTGAAAAAATCTTAGAAGACTAACTATTTCGCAGAACGACGTGTTCGTAAGTGGGATGATGGGTATCGCTGAAAGTAGCCGTAGTAGAATCGCGATTAACAAGTCAATGTTCGAATCTCAGTGCGGTGGAGCTCACTGCATTGCTCACTTTTATCGTAGCTGTAGTGAATGCGCAGTCGGTAAACGCATAGCACGTACCGGTTGGTCACACACCCATTCTATTTCGTCAACGTGTTACACAAAAAGGAAGCATCCGCTAAGTGATTGGTTATATTTGAAAAGGGGAGCCGAAAATGTAACGAAAATGGTAATTTTTTTTTTTTTAGCCCTGCGCCTCGGTAGATATAGATTTTTTGTTGTACTCTGTAGTAAATGATAGGAGGACAAGAGTTTTACCTCGCTTTTGGAATATAGGATAAACATAACATAAGCTTTATTGATTAACATAAGCGTGTGACCTGGCCTAACCATAACGAAAGACATGGGTTGGGAATTTGTAGAAAGTTTTAATCATCTGAAACGTATAAGATTTAGAGAAAAGTAAAGTCAATTTAAGTTCTTTTATATCTATCTATTTCGTCGTCTCTAATGTAATTTAATCCTAGTTAACGGTTTGACCAGGCAGAAGGAATTCGTAGGAATTCGCACATCACTGCGATAGTCGAAGAAAACTGTCAAGACCACCTTGGCTCACGATTCTCGCTCGATCGATCTGTCATTTCCGGGTCGTGTGTGTAGATCCGAGTCTCGTCTCTCATAATAACGCACGCTTCATGACCGAGTGATGGTCAGAAATCATCTCTTCACACATGTTGTAAAAATAGGAAATATATAATGTTTGCGTCTTACAAAACCAAATATCGCCGAAGCACTAATGACGTTTATGATGCAAAGTCAGGCACAGATATCTGTTGCAGTGTAACCATGTTAGAAGAGAAATATTTCCGATATTCGTTACATCGGCGCAATTTAAAGGTCTTCCTCTTTGTTATTATAACTTATGTGAATCCTCCTTTTGGGAAGCTTAGTACAAAAGGCTTTGCATTATTAGAAGACTCATTCACGTTTATATGCAATTGCATTCAAAGTACATATCGGGAGCGAAATGAGATTTTGAAGAATTAGTTAAAACCGAGAACTTGAAAAACATTTCGGATTAGGTTTATAACGAATGCCGAAATAAGCTGTTCTGGAGCGGAGATCTTTTATCTTGCATTTAGAAAATATTTTATTCGTTAAATTCGCAAAATGGATAAAAATCCGACTCTTTTCGATTGATTAGTCATAGCTAAGCAAGATAACGATGATAATACTAATGTAAGCATAAACAAGAAAAATGTTCTTCTATTTTTTTTGTTAAACGTTTAAAAAAGTTTCTTTTCATTAATCATCTTTACCTTGAAGAAGCAACAAGAAATCAAAGAAAAAATACGAGCAAAAAAAAACAAAACAACTGTAAAAACTTCACACTTATTTTATTATATATTGCCGGCTATGATTATCAGCAAAAAGAAAAAAACACAATCTTTAATTTCCTATCATTGTTAGAAAAAAAAAAAAAAGGTTTAAATGTGTTTAAGGGCGTAAATCGTCAATTTGTCATTCTTAAATTTTATAGAAGACGAGCAAAAAAAAAAAAAAAAAATAAAGCTATCTTTGCCCTCGAATTGAGTTAATTGTTAAATTTTGATAAGCAACAAAGAAGTTTATCGTTTGATAAACAGCTCATAATTACCGTTTGGAAAATCAATTACGTGAAGCTATTGCCAGTTGTTTGCAAATTGCACGAAGATGTGAAATTATTTATATTCGTTAGTTACAAAAGGTTTTATTAAGGGGGCCTTAGTGGACCCTTGACATTATCGACGGCACAATTTTGTACGAATGTATTCAACACCCAGAGAGACATGAGATAGACCCATCTTTTATGATGCCGATCGGTTCAGAATACTCTTTCTGCATCAATTTAAAATTGTCCGTCCGTCCGTCTTTTTTGTCGCCTTATTTTCAATCTATAGGGCGGCAGTTTTTACAATGTTTTGATTAAATTTGCTAGACTGCATTGTTGTCCGTCTGTCCATCGTCTTGTCTTGTGTTCACACCGCAAAGGTTGCAGATATTTTAACGAAATTTGGTATATGCACATGTCCAAGGATGTACGGCATTGAATCTGTTCACTACTTTGATCATTTTCCATATAAAGCCTGATTTTAAAAAATGGCTGGTGAAGTGCGTTTAACGGTAAACCATGGCTCGCTATAGTGCTTTTGCTCGCGTCTTGATAACGCGATGATTCGTAATACAATTTAGCAAACTCTTCAATAAAAAATATTAATATGAGAATGGGACATGTTTTGCTTGCGTGTATAAAACAATATGAAATTCTATATCGTATTGGGTGGAAAAATCTTTACCAGTTATTAACAAAAAAATTTCACAAAGGATGCGGGTTCACAATAGCTATGCGAAAAGCTAGGGCCATCCATGGACAAATTCCGATTTCATATTTACATGCCTTCTAGATTGTACATAAGCCATACTTGTAGCGCTTAAGAGATTCCATCTAAACAGCGTATGTATTATTTTTTCTAACTTTTAAATAAAATGTTATGTAAGATTGAGAATAAAAATAACTTTAAGGAAAATTTTTTTTAATATCGAGGATGTTTTCTAAAATAGACAGAAGCGTTTTAAAGTAGCCAATTTTATTGGTGCCACCTATTGATAGCCGACTGAGTTGACAAAAGTCCATTTTGCTCTAAAGTTCCTTCGGATGTATAGAAGTCGAGCTTGTTCGTTGAATTGAGTTATGAATGAAATGATGGAACTTTAAGGGAAACTCTCGTTGAATATTTACCCCTTAGTAAAGTCCGTGAGTGATATACGTTCGTAAAAATGGCAGTGATAAACATGAGTAATAATTCAAAGGTTGGTCATCCGAAACTTTTTATTAAAGCATGAATTTTCCAAAACACTGAGCATTTATCTATGGAAGACATGGGTTACGCCGAGCTGAAAGCTTGTATCCGCCATTATCAAGGACGTCTGTTCAAATCACTTATCTCTTTTTGATCGAGAAAATTTTTAGGGTGTAGGTCTGAAGGAAAATATTTTGAAAGCACCTCAAGTGAATCTGATGGGAACTTTTTTTTAAGAAGAGTGCACGAACCTAAAGGATACTAATTTGGATAGTTTTGACGTAGTTTCTAGGGTACTTTGGAACGCATCTTGACTAGATCTAAAAGAAATTACTTTGAAAAGCTCCCATTCAGTTTGCAACATGTCATGCATGTAAGTTTGTCTGAAATTTAAAAAAAAATTTTTTTTTTTTTTAATGACTTTGCATGATGCGTTTATATTTTATTTTATTTATATATATTTTTTTTTAAAGAAAATTGCTTACAACATATTTAATTTGAAATTATTTCAGTGCATGACAATGATAACATTGCTTTTTTTTTGGAAGTTTGCAACTTATTTCATAAACTAATATATCAACGAATAAACGCTGAAATAAGATTAAATTGCAAAAAAAAAAAATTATTTCGCCACATTTCGCAATACGAAAAAGCGATAGTAGAGAAAACAAGCAAACAAAAAAATTAAAATAATTGCTGAAAATAATTTTTTTAAGTTTTATTTATTTAACAATTTCATTATTGTTATAGTCCGCACGATCTGTAGCAAGAGGACGTATTTAGTTTGTGTGGATGCAAGCAACACCCAGAAAGACTGATAACTGAGATAGACCCGCACCTTTTTTTACGCCGATCGATTCAAAATCCCTTCCGTAATCGATGTAAGCTTGTCTGTCCTTCTGTCCAGATTACATTTTTTGACATGTTTTGATGAAATTCAATTCAACATCGTGTTTTGACCCAAGATTCAACGCTATTGAAAGTGCCTTGGATGGGACCACCTTATCGATGACTTATCTTATCTTACTTTACCTTAGTTTAAAGATTATATGAATAACCCTGTGTCAGCAACTGTACCACGCAAAGTGGTGTAGGGTATTTACTAACGGACTGCTTCCCATTACAACGGTTTCACTTGTTTGTTGTATCTAACAATAGTTGCAATAATTTAACACTCGATTTTATGCAAACAAGTGTTGTTCCGTGCTGTTTTCGAAAAATACAAATACATACATACATATATATATATATATTTATTTATTTATTTTGTACTAAAATTTAAAACTATTATGCATAAGAATATTATTCCTATTATGCCTTCCATATACTTTAAATTATTTAATTTATGCTTAAATGCAATTTGTTACAATTGAACTTATTGTTGTGCTTACCGTACCGTTATCGGCAATATTCTTATTGAATATCGAATATATTGCAAGAATGAGCGTAAGATTTACTTATTGACCTACGTGCATGTCTCTTATTTATAAAACCTATCATTTACTTCATATATAAGAAATTCATATTAAATTAGATCAATTTTCAGAATCAACCAAAAAAAAAAAAAAAAAAAAAAAAAATGGCGTATGTGTGGTTGTGCACAAACTTAACTTATTACTCATACATTACTTTCTATGCCAGTTCTGTCATATAATTATAATGTAATGTAATAAAAACCCTATGAAAATGAAAACATTGGGTTGCTAATCGAATCACTGATACCAGTTATCTACCTAACGTGTCTTATGTAATATTCGGTTCGGCTATCTGCACAGAGTGTGGGATTAAAATACATTGAAAAGTTTTGTAGGTGTTTAGCCAAGTAAGCTTCAATGATTTTTCCAAACTTTACTAAATGTTCTAATGTCCGTATGCCTTGTATTCGTTAATGCCGGACCGGGAATTGGCAATTGGCTCTAAAGCCGGAAATGTATTTATTATTACTATTATTATTATTATTATTTGATACATTCAAGCAAAAAAAGTAGGATAAGCATTAGCAATCAAAGGAATACATTGTACGATTAAAAGTGGGTTGACCATCGGCAATTGAGACTACAGAGTGCGTTTTTAAAGCCGAAGTATTAAAGTAATAAATATTGCATTGATTGGATGTTCTCCAGGTAACGTTACAATGGCTATAGGGCTAGAAGGGTTCTGAATGGAAGGATTTTGACGTTCACTAAGTACACCAAAGCCTTTTTTTGCACGCTTTTCTTTATCCGATTTTGAAATAACACGGCTCACCAATATATTTATGAAAGTTTTTGTTGAAACACGAATTCCAAAAGAATTTTCCTTTTTTTTTTAATTCGAATTTTGACAGTGCCTCACGGAAGTTTATGTACACAGCAACGGTCTAAGCTGAATTTCCGCTGGTAACTGCTAACTTAATTCGTGAGGGCTTGGAAATGCACTCTTTTTGCACGAAAAAATTTTTCTTTAAATTTTAATTTTGACAGTGTCTTACGGGAACTTGGATATCAAGAATTATATAAGGAACTTGGGAAACAAAAAAAATCCAGGTGTTCTGGTTGGGGAACCGTACATGCTGCTGCTGGCACGGACCAAGATTATCTTTCGTTGTTTTCTACCTCTAACTCGCATCTACACATATATACACGTACTTACGTTGAAGGAAGAAAAAACAACATTTAATGAAAAATTCAGCACAAAAAGGCTATGCTTCTTCTTCGACTGCGATAATTGTAGTGATGAAAATTACAAGAAATTCCGAATTTCTTTCATTTTGCGAAAAGAGTGAAAGGAAAAAACTAATTTATTAGATGTATTTTGCTTTGTAGTGAGGTTTTTTTGTCTTTACATAAACCTTTCCGGTGGCAAGAGAATTAAACGGGAAGAATTTCATTCATTTCTTGGTACTTCTTGGCAAAGCTAAATGGACTCCTTTGACAAAGATCTATAAGGTTATATTATCCATTATATATATATGTATATATTTTCTTATTATTTCTTAAGAAGAATTCTTTTACGACTGAAGGTCATGATAAACGAATACACACTTGCATACATAGTTAGTCTGTGGTTTTCTATTATTTGCATGAAAAAGTGGTTGTGAAATATTCATCAATGTTGCGTTGTTTTCTCCATATTTCACCATATTTCACCTACCGGCAAGGCTGATGAATACTTTTTTGTAGTTCTACAGAGTAATTTATTTATCAAAGGGCTTCTTTCAAATGGGAATGAATAGCTTTTGTGAAGTAGGAATTCCGAGAAGTATTTTTAATCTTCATCATCATTTGACATGAGCGACGACGAGAGATGATTTATAAGTGATAAGAAGTGACAGAAGTGATAGAAACCGCAATAGCTTATCACCATCCCTAAAGCGGTTTCTTTAATTATAGGCGCATCAGTGATTACACCATCACATCGCAACACATCAAGAATTCGCGTCAATTGTTAGATAAGTTTGTGCGATTGCCTGATAAAGCTTTCTATGATGTCAGTTGCAAAGAGAAGCCGCAGTAAGGAGAAATTCTTTGCCTTGATTTTTTGGTTCTAATGCCCCACGTGGCTGAATCCCTTCTTTTTATAAAGCATTGTTGAAAAATTCTTTTTCCGTAACAATATAAAGCAGCGGACGCGAAAAGTCTCTTGGCTCGTATGTGTTTTCTTCTTCTTGGTATATGCAAAAACTAATTTAAATTGACTTTGAAGCTTAAATCCGATGATAATAAATGTGATCTAATGTTTTATTGTAATGTTTGGAGGAAAACGTCGTGCAGAGTAAATAGATCTCTTACATATCTAAGTGATATAATCTCGCACAGTCACTGCTGTCATTGATATGTTGTTTAAGTTGTTTTTATAGAGGAAAAATGCTCCTTCATAACAATATTAAAACAAAAATTTATGGAAATCATTGCATATATAAAGGGGAGGTGTTTTCTTGCTACAAAAATGTTCTCTTTACGAAGGGATGCTTTAGTTTTTGGTTTGACCCTTAACGTCCACTCACACAGGATAGATGATATAATCCGTGTGAAAATCACTCTTTATTAATTATTGCTTATAGTCGAATTAATGGACTAATCAAAGTTTGTACCTGTGCACTACTTGTATCAAATATCGTTATCCTTACGATTCTGGCTCCTGGCCTTACTTTCAATGCTCCGCAATCTAGAAAGAAATAAGTAAAAACACTGTAGCGTTCAAAATAAGACGTTTTCCGATACGAACCATTTTCATAAGTGTACGTCATTGGGCCAAAACAAGTTAGGTTAACAAATTTGCTCAAAATGTACCAAAAATTAGGACCTGTAGATTGAAAATAATGAAACAAGCGATGCAGGCGGACAGACGGACAGACAACCTTAAATCGGTTCAGAAAGTGCTTCTGTATCGATCGGTGAATTAAAAGGTGGCTTTGTTTCAAGTTCTTCTAGGTGTTGCATACATCCGCACAAATTTAATATATCCTTGTACCGCAAGTGAAGTTGAGATGAGTATATTTCTGGGGTTTTTGCATAATTCTAAAAATTTGTAGGGGACAGTAATATGTTTTGGCATTCCATTATCCAATGCAAACGACTTGCATCGGACACAATAACTTAAGGAAGCGATATAGGAGTACTTATGAGTTTTATAAACGTTTCGGTTCATAAATTTTAAGATTTTTGAATCAATAGAACTTAAGCTGCACGTGATGGTAGAAAGAACTTTTTAAGTGTTCTCTTGTAGGCATCTATGCCCAAAAATCACTTGGTCGCTTTATGACGCATAAGATAAATTTCATTTAATTTCATTTATTAGATAAATTCAATGAGAGGGATATCTTTAGCCGAACACAAAGCTTGTAATAAACATAAGCTTCTATCTTATTGCCTACGATGCAAGATTTATAATTTAATTAGATTAGATTGTAGACTAACAAACAGATTGCAAGTTTTATGATTAAGTGAACGAAGAGAACAGATCAGCTATAAGTCATTGTGACCAATCGAAGCTGCAAACTGCGAAGGAGTTTTAATTCAGATATTGAACACACTCAAGGAGGTCAAAACATTATCAACATCCATAAAAACAAAGAAAGGCAACAGGCACGTATTGCAGCGTTGGTCTAGCTAACATAGGGTTTCGTTAAATTCCTTAGACCATCTTCTTATAAAGACAAGAGGAGATTCTGACGTTATTAACTGAAAATGCAACCTGAGTTTCGACGAGAGTCGAAACATTAACTAACTTTTTGTAACTTGACCTTTTCTCTTGGCTTTGGTTCTCGATACCGTAATCAGTGGAGAATATGTTAATCGAGCGATAATGATAATGAATAGAATTATTAAGGGATTTATTATCTCGTATTATAACAAAAGATTTAAGTTTTAACTAAGTTCAATTTACTCTGAGTCAATATATTAATATCTCTGTCAACTTGTTCAGTAAATTGTTGATTATTATCCGCAAACGGACGCAACTAACTCATATGAAAGAGACACTTTTCTTCTCGTGCTTTTATTAAAAATTTATTGCTTTGTTCTATACGTCTGCAAGCGATTCCATTAGTTTAGTTTTATTTTAATAAACGTACTTAGTTGAAAATGGTTAGCTTGCGTGACCTACTCGCACTATTATCAACCATATTATTCTTGCTCAACGATTGTCTCGTTTCCACTTTAAGCATTTAGTTAATTTGTATAATGTTTGCGTATTGAGTAGGTTTTGACTTTTCTTTTTATTTAACTTGTTGGATGGACTTATATATGCATATGTACATATACATATCCATACATAATAATTCTACAATATGAAATATATATAAATACATATATATGTATATACATTTGATATCAATAGCAAGCAATTTAAAGAAAAACATGTAAAAATATTATAGTCGGGTGGAGTCGACCGTTAAATACTCTCAACTGCTTCGCTTACAAAAATTCTTCATTTGTTTGCTCCCTAAAGTACTTAAATATTATTTCTCCATGTAAAGACACTCCTTTCATGGCAGCCCGTATGGAAAGTGCCCTGACCAAAGGGGGGGGGACATTTAGCAAAATTAATCCTTTTCTCCAAAAATCTTATTATTCTTCACCTATTTTCCTTATAAATAGTACCACATGTGTGTCAAAATTTTATATAGTTAATTTTTCTGTCTAATTACTATTATGAAAAAAATTTTTAATAAAAAATTTTAAAATCTTCTCTATCATGTAACGGTTTACGTTTGGTAGGAATGTTTTTATGATGAAAGCCATCCCATCTAATGCAAATTTTTCAGCTCAATTTGATATGTTAGAACGCTGTTAATCACACATAGTCACATTTAGCGAGAAATTTGGAGAATTACAATTTTGGTTTGTACATCCATTTTTCATAGATAATGGTTTCGAAAGTAATCGAATTCCTTCTGTATATCTCAAAAAGTTCGATCTGCAGGTTAAACACAAAAATAAATGAATATATGATAGACGGACAGAATGAGTACGCATACAATGAAAGGTGTGCGTCTTTTGTAAGTCCGCCTTGGTGTTACAAACATCCGCATAAGCTTAATATACTTTCTATCACAAGCGATGTAGAGTATTATAACTCTGAATTGACCCTGAAGACCTTTCGGTTACTATATACTTAATAGTCGCCCGCACAAACTTAATCCAGCCTTTACCATAATTTGTGTAGGGTATAAAAACTTTCTTGTTAGCGTTGTTTTTTTTTTTTGCCAGCACTCATTAATCATGTATTATATTATGGTTGGAATTTTTCCAAGAACTTTTTTAAACAATTTCTCAACAATTTTCAGTTTTGAAATATTGATTTTTAATAAATATTTAATATGAATTGAAATTTAATTTTCCACTACATTTAACTTACTATTTAATGCCGATATCATTATAGTTATGTTCCTACGCGGTTATGGGGCTTCAGTGGTCATATGCAGACCGTTTTACATAGTATTATAGGGCGCGTTAAATGTCCTTGGCCATTAGGCGAACGCGTTTATCTATCATTGGACGATGGCTCAACATTAACCTATGACCTGTATCAACCCATTAAGGAATTTGAAGGTAACGAGAATTGCATCTATTGTTCTTTCTAATTCATTTCGCTTTATTCTCTCTCCGTTTTAGATGACATCACTCTTGCTATATGTCCTGGCATTGGCAACAGTTCGGAAAGCGTTTACATACGCACATTTGTTCATTATGCTCAATGTCATGGCTATCGATGTGCGGTATTAAATCACATTGGAGCTCTTGGAAGTGTACAAGTGACAGCAACAAGAATATTTACATATGGTATGTTGATATAGATACTGTCGCGATTTACTATTGTAGATTATCTTGCTTGTTGTAATATAGGTCACACCGAGGATTTCGCCGATATGATTGATAATTTACATAGAAAATATCCAGGCACTTGTATCATAACAGTAGGTTTCAGTTTGGGAGGAAACTTGATTACAAAGTATTTAGGTGAAGTGCAAACCAGAAAACCCGAGAGTGTTATTGGGGGTATCTCTATATGTCAGGGCTATAATGCTGTTGAGTAAGATCAATTTAATTCTTCTCTACAAGAAATAAATAATTAAATATAACTTATTTTTATTGCTTACCTTCTATTCGCAGAGGCACTAAATGTCTTTTAAATTGGCAAAACTTTCGTCGTTTATATTTGTATATTATGACGGAGAACATGAAGAGTATTATTTTAAAACATCGTCAAGTCTTATTATCAGATGAGTCGATACAACGTCATAATTTAAATGAACGTGAGATAATTGCAGCCGCTACACTGCCGGAACTGGATGAGGCTTATACAAGACGTGTTCATAATTTCTCTACAACTCAGGAATTATACCGATGGAGTTCATCGGAGAATTATTTTGACAATATTGATAAACCCATCATATTCATAAATGCGAAAGATGATCCATTAATTCCCGAATTTCTATTAGGACCAGTTAAGAATTTTGTAGGTAAGTTGATTAAATTTATTTTAAAGAAACCCGTGGTCTGAGAAACTCTTTAAATAATTGGAGAATCGAAAAATTTTAAAAATCAAAAACAAATAGTTCTACTAATGAATTAGATCATATTATTGAAAGGAAACAAATTAAAAAAAAAAATAATAATAACTCACAAAAAAAAAAAAATAAAAAAAATATAAACCAAGAAATTAAGAAAAGAAATTAAGTTAAAATATTTTATTAAAAAATCAAGTTAAAAAATACAAAAAAATTCAATTAATAAATTGAAAGAATATATAACATACGCCGAAGGGCAATGTCTGCTCTTATGTGAATGTTGTGCGTAATTTGATTTTAAAAAATCAAACTTCGTTTGCAGTCGATAGGTTTCGAACCTACGCTGTTGAAAATCTGCATCCGAAAATGGAAAGTAAATAGCAGATTAAAATAGGAGAAAATATTAAAAGAGTCAATGGAGAGAGTTTTGTTTATTTGATAAAATTGCGAAATAACCACTTAAACCGTTGGCTGCTACTCGAATTCTCAAGAAAACCTGTCAGGGCTAAGTCGTAAGTAAAAGGTTACTGTGACAGTTATGCCATGCCGGGTTTTCGCTGCCAACGTGTTAATGACTTTGGCGCAAGTATGTTGGGTAGCGAACTAACTTATTTTTATGTAACTTCAAAAAAGAAAAACTCTTGCTTCGCTTCGCAGTCGGTAGGATTCGAACCTACGCTCCCAGAGGGAATCTGATTTCTAGTCAGACGCCTTAACCGCTCGGCCACGACTGCACGTTGGTTGCTGTGGTTTATTCAAAGACATAATGTTGTAATTGTTTATCATTTGTATGTATTGCTTTCTGTAGGTTGTTGGCTCATGAAAAATGAAATGCACCTTGCACTATTTTTTTAAGCATTGTGTAAAAGATGAAATCAAACCGTTTCCTCATTTGTTTTTTCTTTTATTGTTTTAAATAGTATCACATCAGCAAGCTTGTTACATTGAAGTAGCTCATGGCGGTCATTTGGGTTTCTATGAAGGCGGTTTCATCTATCCAAATCCAGTTACTTGGCTTGATCGCACTTTAATAGCAATGATTGGAGCTCTTTTTATTGTGCATACAACACCAAATAAACATAAATCCGGCGTCTCAGCTCAATGCTAAATTATTTGATTATTTTTTTTACTGTGATGAGAGACAACTTAGAATTTTTCTAAAAATTTTGTACAATACAAAAACAAAAAATTAACGTATAGCTACGTTAGAGTCCTTTACAAATAATTGACTAATACCAAATTTTGCATGTATTATAACTTTTGTTAATCAACCATTGGCAAAATATTAATAAAAATATATCTAATCTGGCTTTTATTAGTATTCCCATTGTATTCTTTTTTTTTCATTTTGTCGAAAATCATTGCTTTCACAGTTTGTTGTGTTAGTTGTTTAATATAAAATAAATAAAATAAACAAATGCGATCCAAACGTTACAAACATTCAATATGTCGAATATGTATTTGAAATTGCACAACAGTTTGCATTTTTTTTTTTTGTATTTACATATTAAAAACCAAAGTAATGAATGAAACGCCACAATATTTCGACAAATAGTACTTATACTTAATATATGGCAATAGTTACGTGATAAGTATTAGTTACAATTGTTATTAAATGCATTAGCGCTTACCTCTGCCTTTTCTTCCATGTCTCCCGTTAATTCAAATTTTTGATTCACACATATATAGTCTTATTAAAGCGTTTATTTACTGTAATTACAGTATCGTTTTCAATGGTATTCACCTTTTTTATTTTATAAAAATCTCTACAAATGCAGTCCAATCAGTTATATATATACATGTATGTATATATATATAAAATAAAGTTTCACATTCTTATAGATGACTTGTACAAGGTATTTAATGGCCTTATATATATTTAAAATTAAAATCGGAAGTGAAAATAAAGTTCAATGATATATAAAAATACAACAATTTTTTTATGTAATTATTGTAATCTTTTTGTATTCTATAAATTTTTGATATATACAATTTTATTTTACATAAATATTTTGTACTGGAAGTAGATAAATATTGAAATAATAACAAAAAAAAAAAAAAAGATCCATGTAAATGCTCTATATAGCATATAATGTATTAAAGAATATGCGATTTTTTTTTTTAAATATTTTTTATTCATTATTTAGTTTAGTAATACTAAAGCATTTAATGTCTTTTGCAAATTTTCTCTTCTATTTTATTATTAATTTTTTTAAATTTATTAATAGATGATTAAATCAAATTTTGGCTCTTTGAAGTTAATGATTTTATGATTTAATCTAAATTGTAAGATTTTTTTTTTTTGCAATTTTGAGACATATATATATATATATATATATATATATATATATATATACCTATGTACTCTTGTAAAATAAGATAACAAATACTTTCGGTTTAGGCCGAATATTTCCAATACTCACCACTTGCTTGCTTTCCTGTATTTCGAGAAGCTAAAGTAAAAAAAAGATATACTTCATGGAAAAAAGTGCATTACAAATATTATGGAAACAAAAGCCACATATTTTGTGTAGATATGTTTCGTAGCACATAAAAAATTATTGAAAAAAAGTAACCAAAAATTAAAAAGTAAAAATTAAGCGTGGTCACGGATCCGCCTATTCAATGTGATATGTCTGAAGGACAACACACAAAATGTGCTCAGCGTAATATATAGTATTAAGAATGTGATGAAGGGATTATTATGTGAAGAACAACCACCTACCCGACTTTTGTCTGCATAGATTACCCTCTCATATAAAGCGGTAGGCTGCAAGATGGTTTTATTCTAACAGGAAAAAAACTGGCGGCAATTTTCTTATAATACGGCATTTTTACAACAAGATACGGGGATTATTGTTTGGCACTATTTAGATAATTAGCTTGTAGGCGCAAGCAAAGAAAGCAAGTGCGCACGTGATTGACAAGCGAGTCCAGAAAGTGAATATATATAATAGTTTTCAACCAAGTAAAAGTTTTTGTTTTACTATACCGAGCATTGACGATGAAAGAAGTTTACCGTATTTCTCGGATTATAAGACGCACCTGTTACAGAAAGATGGACTCAAATTACGGCTCGAAGGCTTTGCTACTGCTTTTGCAATAAATCTTCTCTAAATTTGAGTTACGAGACCGAGTGTGAAGACGAACTGAATATTGCTAGAACGAGTTATGTAAACAATAAATAAAAATTTTCATGCGAAAGTAACACTGAATTATTCAATGCGCCAAAAGGCGCATAAAGTCCGAAAAATACGACGCCACATTCAATGAAATTAAGCAATTTGTTTATTATTGTTTTGTTACATGATAAAAATGGAGCAACTTAAGTGGAATTTAAAAACGAAGTATCTGATATGGCATATCTAGTCTCATATAACAGGGTTTCGCGTAATACTTTGTAGCCACCTTGTTGTAGGAGGGTTATCTGTAATTAAGGATGGCCTCATAAATCGGTTAGATCCTTTTTTCTTATGAACATGACGACAATAAAACGTAAGAATTCGCGAGTGACATGAAAAGATATGCGTAATTCCGAAGCGCCATGTGTGACATACAGAAGGGTCTGACTAAATTCATTCCCGTTATTATGTAAATAAAGAGTCATATTCTTTTATACCCTAAAAAGAATACTCGCAGAAAGGCTTTTGAAAAATTTAATACAACTTTTGTGATAGACCTGCTTGGACTGAGTTTGCCATTTGCCTTAGGCTATATCAGGTGTATAAGAAAGCGATTTGGGAAGTAATTTACTCCAGATTGCGGTTTAATTTCTTGCGTGCTTTAGTTTAAATTTTATTAAAGAAAGTGTTGAAATTTTCTCTTCTTTTATAGATTGCTTCCCTGCTTTAGTTCTCGTATGTGGGTTAAACGCATTTTAAAAACTCTGATCTGATAAAAATTAAATAAATTCTTTCTAGTGGTGGGTAAGAGGGCAAATAAAAGTTATATGTATATATACAGGTATATATTTTATTTCCTTTGCCTGTAAATCAAAAATAAGAAGAAAATTAATCGCTAAAATTAGAAAATAAAACAACCTCACAAATATTTAATAAAATTTCAGTAAAAAAAAGGAAAAAAAAAAAAACCAAAAAATTTATAATAATGTTTTATTTTTAGGTCCTCAAATATTTTTGCACGTCTTTCGGCTGTTTTGGAAATTAATTGTTATTTTTATACCCACTTTACCTGTGCTACTAGTGGTTGAGTTACACGCGTTTTAAATTATATCGACCGATTCCCAATCACTTTCTAAAGCGATGGAGGGTTGAGTTCAACCTAGAGGAATATTTCGATGTGGTTTGGTACACTCTTATGGTGACTGGTTTTTGAAAATAGTTCGGATCGGATTACTTCCCGTATATGGCCTTATTTTGAAAACTCTTTATATGAACAACGGTGGGGTGGTGTAGGAAATTTAATGTTGAAATGTGACGCACTATAGCGTTTATATTTGTTTAGGATGTGAATTAAACACTATATTTTATGGGATATAATAAAACTTCTGACCAACATTCACACCGGACTCCCACCTAGGAAAGCATTAAACGTTTACAAATCTATTGTTAGATCCAAAATTGAATATCCCTACTCTACATCGTGTAACGCTCCTGCGTATACATTAAAAAAAATACAAACCTTTCAACACTCAATCCTAAGACGTTGTACCGGTTTGTCCCCCTCAACACCAATATCAATTTTACGTTCCATCTCTTATGAACTCCCCGTTGCTAAGAGAATTTATCTTGTAACTGCAAAAGAACTTCTCAAGGTAAAAATCTTCAAACCTGCCTTCTTTGACGAGGTCGCTTCCAGACACAATCATGTCATCAGTAGTTACTCTAACTGCTTCAAAAAATTCAGTAACATCTTCAATAAAGTTAACTCAATACCCTCCTGGAATAATATTATTCATGATAAATGCGTAGTTAAATTAAACTTACTTAATTCGATCACCAACTCAAAAAAAAATCGATCAGGGTCTTGTCTTCGAATCGCTTGTCTGCAAAAACTTAACCACTTCATCGAAAATAACTTCAAAATATACGCAGCGGATGGATCTATCAATTCGGACATCTCTAGTTTTTCAATTATTGAATACCCAAACTTACTTATAGGAAAATTCCAAGTTCTACAAGAACTATCATCCACTTTCATTGAACTTCTGGCCATCTGAAAAAATTTGTAGTTTTCTCTGACAGCAAATCTGCTCTAATATTAATCAAGAACAAAGACCCATTCAATAAGTATGTCTTCGATATCTACAACCTTTTAAAAGACCCAAGTATTGAAAAATGCCACATCATCTGGATCCCAGGTCACTGCGGTTTTAGTATCAATGAAAAAGCTAACTTCCATGCTCGTCAAGCTAGGTTCGATGGTACAGAAAAAGAGAAAAGTAAGTAGAATTTAGAAGTAAGAATTTATTCTTTGTTAATTAACATTAATAATAACATTATTTCCCAATAGATATTGTAAAGGTTCCGACGCCATCAGAAAAAGAGAAAAGTAAGTAGAATTATTCTTTGTTAATTAACATTAATAATAACATTATTTCTTTATTATTTCCCAATAGAACAACAACAATTGGAAGGCGAAATCGCCAACGGGGAAATGAGCGAAACGCCCGCCAACGGGCGAATGAGCGACGTTACATCACGGATTTGCGCCAAAAATTAAGTCGCCGCTATCATCATCAAGATCCTTATCCTTATCCTTATCCTTATTCTTGTTCTCATCCTTATATGCATAACTGTCATTGTCATCATTATTTTTATTAATATATTTTTATATATATAAAGAAATAAATTCTGATTTGAATTTTATATAATCTTGAGCGGTTTTTTAATTATTGTTCTTGCCGAGGTATTGATTAACTGATCCTTTAGGTTTTTCCTTATTATGTTATTTTTTCGCTATGTAAACGCGCCTTTAAATTCTTAATTTCTGTAAACTAGAACGGAGGCGCGAGATATGATATCATCCCATACTTGTAAAATTGAATAAGTTTAGTTGGCGTATTTTCCATAGGTGATGATAGAAGAGGGAAAGCGACCAAGTCAACGAAAAAGGATCGGAAACGATCAGGAAACCATTAAAACCATTAAAAAGAATAACAATTTCTTTCATATATATATATATATATATATATATTTGGAGAATACAAAATATAGAATGCTTTAATATAAACAGCGAAACGAGTAAACCACTTCTCTAAACACTTTCAATATTTTCGACAAAATAAAATCCACGCTACAAAATTGGGTATTCCTTTAGATACAAGCTAGTAAACAAAATATTAAATTGTAACGTTCGATTCTACAAACTCTTTTTCAGATTAACAGCTGAATTAAGTTCGTAACAGTTGAATTTGAAAATTCTTTAGGCACACTTCTATGTTTGAAAAAGGTTATCCACATGAACAGCGCAATATTCGCGATTATAAAATTTCTTAATTTCTTTTATTTTACAATTTAGCCTAAAATTACACTGTCATAATTTTTATTATCAAATTAAACAAAGTCCTCGCTAAATTCCCTGTTGAAAGGCAAAGCACAGAGTCGCTTATAATATATATAAATGGTTGAGTGCCCAACTAACAACTTAAATGTTAACGCCAAACAGCTATGTTAAACGCGCAACTTAACAGACCAGAAAGGTCCAACTTTGTAAAATAACATTATCTAACGGACCAACTTAACAAAAGCCGTCGGCAAAAGAAAAACTTAACAGTGCGTGCGTTATCAATCACTCAACTCAACAATTTTGATCAAAAAATTATGATCAAAATACCATCTACAAAATGACTACTAACCACAACAACAACAATTCATCATACCCAACTCTTCTTAACATACAATCATATTCAGGTGTTGTCATATCAAAGTCTTTCTTTCACTTTGATTCATTTAATGTAACGTGGCCTTTGCTTCACATCAGCAAATACAACAATCTTTACGTTATAAAAGAAACTCTTTGTTATTCGCATTAGCAAAGCAGTGGAACTTAACTCCAACTTATGAAACTTAACCCAATCAAAATTCATGCAAGATTTGTAAAGCATGTGGAAATTAACCTAGAAGTTTTACCATGTATTTAAGAAATTTTTAAATGCAAGTATGGCATCACCTTGTTTTAGTTGTGTGCTCAACCAGAAAGCATTGCCATTGTAGCAAAAAAAAAGCAATAAAAAATTATTATTATTATTACTATAAATTTAGTCTAATGAAAAAAATTCCTAGACTAAAAAAAAAACATTAAGCACTAGCAACACAGGCTCTAATTTAAATAAACGTACATTAGATAATTAGCTTGGTAGTATTAATAAAGTAATATATAGAATTGATATTCGATTCTGAAGTTGATTTTAGAATGTCCAAAGAGTTAATCGTTCCAAATGCAATACTTCTAGCCAAGGAAAAGTTATGGCAGTCGCAGCGAAAGTGCTTTATAGTGAGAATTTGTCTACAAATTGGGGAGGAAGACTTCATCAAGATCCATTGGTGAGTTGCAATTGTATGACCAAGGCGAAGTCTCGAAAATGTTTGTATCTTGGTTTTCTCAACATTTGTTGGATATAAAGGTGGAGTTAATTGAGGGTTAATGGAAGAGTAGTGTTGGTGTTGGTATTGTAAATTTCCTTCTGCAATTTTCTCTTTAACTTGTCTTCCAATGTATCTTTGAAGATACAAGAATGCGTATCACAGGAACTATACACTTCGCAGACGTACAGTTGCGTATGAACTAACAGATGGAAAGATGGGCAGGATGTGATCAATTATTAGCTATCAACTGTGGTAAAATGGTTGTTGTCAAATGCTACCAACCATTCGGTGTTCAAAAGACGAATGAAACAATAAAATAACATATACGGTCCTTATTCTTCATAATATCCGTGCATCCATTCATACAGCGCAACGCTGGGAACTCTTAACTCGGAGCAATTAATTGGGGAAGCTATCCCACGAAACTTAGGCATGATGGGACGCGCTTCCAGTGCTTCTGCACTTTACTCCTTATGAAAAGATACGAAAATGGCTCGAAGACTGGTTTGTTTTGAAAAAGCTCGCGTTTCTTTGGTCCGGCCACAAACGAATTGTTAGATGGGTAGGAAAAATGTACAGCTAACGATAACCAACGCTTCGAATCATTTTCATACAATAAATGTGAAGTTTTCACATAACAGTTTCGTGTTCACGTGCACATTTACCTGCATGTATTTAGCATTCTATTTTCGTGGGCATTCCTATGCATCTTTATGCCTTACACTGCTAATGGTCCAGGGAATCTGAAGTTTGTTGCTATGTATGCAATATTCACAAAGACTTCAGATAGTCATGCATTTTGTTATACAGAAAGTGATTCTGAATGGATCTAAGTTTGTCTGTCTACTTACTCGTTTGATGTCTGTTCATGAATTTTTGTGTTTTAACTTAATGTTGAAAATTTTTGAGACATTTTGATGAAATTTGGTGCACCACGGTGGCTTGGTTCAAGGACGAACGCATCGGATCCCTTTTAAAATAACGTTTTATATAAGGCGTTATAGATAACATATCCGATATTTAATTGTCGGTCCTGGCACCTAATCACCACAGTGGGTTTTTTTACTTGTACTGTGATAATAATCAAAAGGAGGACATGAAGTTATATTATGTTTGTTACTTCTCTTCTAGGATCCGGCTAGTCACCTTCGGATACGCTATACAAGATACATATCCGCAGCTAGCTTGGTTTATTCATCTTCGTATGCTCCTTTCTTTCCCCTTCTTACGCTCTTTGAATTGAGACAATTTCAACTTGTCGCCTGCCCTTTTCTTTTGATCACTTCTAGAAAGTTGACAAGATCGACTGCTGCTAAGTATTTGTTATTGAGAGCTACGGCGTCAATTTGAAGAATACAATAAAATTCACAGCCAAGATTAGTTCTTGGCTTAAAGTTTCTTATCTTGTTTCTAGCTCTGTGCAAAGCGTTAATGTGACACTTTCTCCATGGCTTATGCTGCCCACTAACATCAGACTTTGTAATTTTATATTTCGATTTCTTTGTATTTGTCAGCATTTAAAGATTATGCCCCAGGGCGTATGCAATTTTCCTATTTGTTTTAATTAAGTGAATTTTCTCGGCTTAACCGAGTTGAGGTTATCTGAGATGATGTATAGGTTGCATACGTTTTGATTATCTTTAATGAATTGTCTCTAATCAATGTCTCAGATACATGCCGGTGGATTTTCTAATGTATTGTAGAGGGAAAGAGAGAGAGAGAGAGAGGGAGAGAAATCCAATTAAAATTTTGTCACAAACAGTCCTGTTTACTAATAGTTTTGGTTATAATTAAGGCTGAAGTGTATAAGTACGTAACAGTCAAGTGTGCGAACATTATAGATAATGGTTTTACATTATATACATGCATATATATATATATATATATATATATATATATATATTTTAATAATTAAGATAAACTCTCTTTCGTGCAATTAACCAGCATTTAGTTGATTGTTGCTATTGTGCTCTTGTGTACTGCATGAAAATGTTATCAAAATTTTACGCTTAAAGTGTCAAGATAAGCGGAAATAAACAACATGCGTATCATCGATATCATCGTCATGTCGCTTATGGCTGAATATTTCACTTTATGCAAGTGCATTTAAAAGATGTGCGCACGTGTGTCTGTGCGTGTATGTGTGTATGTGCAGTCACAAGGTGCAAGGTCAAGATAAAAGTATGTACCGGGTAATAAGGGTCATTGACATTTTGTGTTTTTACTTTGTTTCGCTGCTGATGCCTGCTTACAGCATACATAGCTTAAAGGGACTATAAAAGCTTTGACGGTTTATCAAGCAATTAACATTAAATTAAAAACGTTGGTTAAAACGAAAGAAGCAACTTTTTCATGAAACGCTCTCTCAATATGCTAGCAATCGAAAATTTTCTTATTTTAACTATCGGTTTTTTGGTGCTAGTGAAGGCGGGGCCTTTTAATGCTACTGTCGACAAGCCTAACGAACCTTGTGCACCCGGCTGCCCGCGTATTTTAGATCCTATATGTGCGGTGGATGACACATTTAAAAATCATAAGTATTTTCATAATCAATGTCTCATGGATTACGACAGTTGTCGTTCCGGTAAAGGTATGTTAATGCAGTCAAAATTTATTATCTGATTTAATTTTCATTGTTTGGTGTTGTAATAGAAAACTTTTTGTTTTTTCGTTACGCGTAACACGCTGATTGTCAGAAAGGAATAGGGAAAGAGAGATTCGTGAAACGCTTGCAACATAACAGTAATAGGAGACATTAGTTAAAGATAACGAGTTCTTGCTAAACAGCTTAATTATGTTTGCTGCTCAAAGGCAATTTGAAAACGAAAATCAATTAAGTTCAGATTAAAAATTTTTCCATAAAAAGGCTTACATAACTAAGGTGGTTCACAAGTGAAACCCCGGTTGACAAGTGAAACAGACGAAGTGCTTTTGAATTCCTATGCACTTAATGGGGTTTACGTGCCAACCAACTATATGTAACACTTTACTCAATAAGTTCGTAGGATCGAGAGCCGTATTTTTTGCAGTTTCGTGAATCAAACGTACTAATAACGCCGTATGTTATTCATTATTGGTTGTTTGGTCCTTTTCAAGCGAGTCGATGAATATTATACCAAGCGAATCTCAAACTACGGGCGCCATAACGTTCTTAGCCGACTTTAGAGTTACTGGTGGCTTTGAATGGCTTTCACGGGTTGCTGTCTACTTGGCTAACGATCGATTTGATTTTGGAGTATAATGACGAATACACGTTTCATCTCTCCTACCTTATCCCATGTATATATGATTTTTATTTCACCCCCACAGCTCCATTAATTTGTTGCTTTTGGGTGAAAATGCTTACGCAAAATAGTAAATACATGGCCTGCACCTTCACTTTTTCGTCTTCCAAACTGATTTTGTGCACTTTTGTTGTGTTTACTGGAAAACCTGGCGAGTTCGGACAACCGAGCGTTTAGCTTTGCCGCCGAAGCAATTCTCTACCACTTGCCTTGGTAGAGCAATCCTTCAAGCCAATGGTTTGCTTGAAGGATATTTTTTCTTTCATTAAAGCTATCGGTTTATCGACATACGAACCTCAGGTTTTGCCATTGTTTTGAAAATTGGAAAAGTAGCTTCACTAGAACTAGACCTAACCTAATTGTTGGAATTCATCAAATTTTGACGTAATTTGCTTGACTATCATCCTACGAACCTACTGTAGTGTTATATTAGTTTGGTGGAAAAGTGCTTTTGTTTGAAAATTTGACTTTGAAGATGTTTGTTGGGTTGCTCAGCGTCCGTACATAGCATGACGAGTTGCTTTGCTATTGCAAAGCAGTTAGATGTGGGTTACTGCCCCCATGGACCAGCTCGGCAATCTTCTTTGCGGCTGTGGAATCTTCGAAACAAAATTTGATAAACCTTTTCTGATAGATCCAAGGATTTGCAACTTGATTTCCCCAGTTTTTGGTAGCAATCGATGAGTTCCTCTGTTTACGGAATTCTTGTCAAATGCAACGTCTTAAAGGCATTTTGTCGACTGTACTTTATTCATTCTCTGCTTTGCCATTAACTGATGAAGGGAGTGGAAACTAGTCTTCAAGTGGTAGTCCAAATAATAAGAGCTCGCACCAGGCATTCCACCTGATTCCCTTGACCTGACAAGTAAAGTTAGTTATAGGCATTACAATAATGCGTAACTTTCCCGCCAATCTATTATATGATTTTTGCGGTATAATTAGCTAAGCAATGCTGCCTTCATTATATCAGGAATAATATTTGAAAGTGATAAAGTCCAGTTGCTTGTCCCAATGAAATACGACTTTCGTTTGAAACCCAATTGCAATTTATTCGAGATTCTTCCTCAATTCCCGATAAGCCAATGATTCAATTCAACCAATTCGAATGACATCAAGACCAGTTTTATACCAAAAAAAAAAAAAAAAAAAAACAAAAAAAAGAAGAGAAGAAAATAAATGGAAAAAATTTATGATTTATCGAACGTAAATGCCAAGAAAAACTCTTAATATCACATTGCTGTACATTTGCGTTTCATTTCTTTTTCAATTTGATGCTAGCTTGGAAACCTACGCAAATGTTGCTTTGCTTTGCGGACGTGGATACCGCGTTACGTGATGGTTGTATGCGTGTTTGCACTTTCGTTTACAATCCAGTTTGTGCCAGTGATGGTAAAAATTTCGAGATTTTTGGCAACCAATGTGTTCTTGGCATCGAAAATTGCTTAGCCAGCGACAGTAAGTAATATTTGCATACATATATATGAATTGTTTCTACGCACACCCACAGATTGCATGTTTTTACTCTTTCGATTTTTCTCAAAACATTTCCATTTAATATCTTATTAATTGTTAAATACAATATTTTTCGCTTTGCATCCTATTCCAGAATGGCTTACTGTACCAGGTGAGAAGTGTGGCCTTTAAGACACTTTATGTTAATATTAAACGATTTTATTTTCGTTTTAACACAATACATAATAAAATAATAATAAAATAAGAAAACATTGCATTTTGTATGGCTCGCGACTTTAACCTATAGAAGAGACGAGAAAATATACTTGAAAATTATCACAAATAATTAAAGAAATCTATGAACAGATATTAGCGAATCTATTAACCGATTTTTGCCCTATTTTTAATGTTATTCTGCTGTCACAGTGCAAACGGAGGTCTTGAGAATAGACATGTTTCTCTGAAGTATTAACAATATTTTCGTCAGATGGCCAGCTATGTATATATGATTTATTCCTTATATCTACTTGGGGAATTATTAACTATGATTTGGGGAAAATTTCAACAAAAAAATGTCTGAAAATTTTCGACCTCTTAATGAGGTTAGGAAGTAAAAAACATGTGTCCATAAATTCTGAGGGGTATGTTTGTGTCTGCGTGGACAGCTACTTACCAAAATTTTAGCCTTTATAATAATGAAAATAACTTACAACTACGTGTAGGATCAAAACAAGATTATTGCGTGAGCAAGGTGAACGCACTTTGGGTGCAGTGCTTGTTCTTTTTGGAGGAAATACTTCGTATCATCGGTTAGAATGGTGCAATTGCATGGGTTGGAGTTCTAATTGTTGTAGCAACGATCTGCCTGTCAGCGACTCCTGCTTGCCCGCGAATCCTGAAAGGGTGCTACGGAGAAAAGGAGAAAAAAGGGAAAGGAGAAAGAAGGCTTTTGCGGAAAGTTAAGTAAGAAGAGAAAATGTTACTGCCCAAGCAAGACCGACCGCTAAATAGCATACACCGTTTCGTCTAATATAATTATTCATTCAGTCTCGTTGTAATTTGTTTTCACGTAAACCCATTTTGCTGAACACTTGGGACCAAATGAAGCAAACTTAACTTTCTTGTTGAGCAATTCAATATTCTTCACATCTTTTCGTCATAAGAAACTACAAATAAAAGTATCTCGTCATGTAATTGCTCTATGGGATGCTTTGCACAAAATGTGATCCATGATTTTCGCTTTTGGTATAATTAAGTTTTAGGTGAAGTGACCGTTTGAAACAATTTTCCAAAATATCGATCTACTTGGATCGAATTTGATAGAGTTTTTGATAGAGTGTTTATCAACCTACTGCCACAATCCATTATTTTTCATAAGATATGAACTTTTCATGGGAACCTTTATATAGGGTGAGGTTCATAAAATAAACCTTTTCAGTTAATTTCGATGGCAGACTACCATTATAGGTCAATTTTTACAAAGGCATATAAAAACGAGAGATTTGTTGTCATGTGAAGGTTCAACGAGCGGCTCTACTCGATCCATATTTTTCATCCTGATATACTATTACTTAGCTATTTTTGTGGAGAAATTTTCAAAATTGCAACGAATTTTTTAAAATAAGGTGGGGAGTGGTTGAAAACGTGGTCCGATCCAAATTATTTTAAATAGGGTTTGCTCTTGAAAAACAACCTGTCACGCTTTGTTAAAATGTCTTAAAAATTGCGACATGTGGGCTAAACATAAAAATTAATTGACATATTTCAGATAACCAGACGGACGGACGGACAATTTTAAATCGATTCAAAAAATTGTTTCGAATCGATCGGCATAACAGAAGTCTGTCAGTCTGTCTTTGGCGTTCCATACATCGGCACACATTTAATATACCCTGCGCCATAAGTGGTGTAAGGCATAAGCGTTGAGGAACAAAAATAAATTGAAGGGCAAAAATTGTTAGATTGGAGATTTTTCAGTCAAGTCGTGCATGCAACGTCTCTTGTTTCTAAATGTTTGGTCTCATCTTTCATAAAAAGCAAAGTGAAAATATATATATATTTTTTTTTTAAAGTCACATTTTATTAAATTATATCAAAATTTCTGTTTTTTTTACAAAGTTATAATATTTAGTGTATTTTGCTTTCAGCGTTTTTTTTTTTTTTTTTTAACTATAACACAATTATTAATTGTTTTTTTTTTCTGTAAGGAAATAAATTACATTCAAATCTCCACTTATTTTTCTTAGTAGTTTTACAATGTATTCCTTATCCTACACTTTATTTTAATTGTATTCTGAATATATATATATTTTTTATTTTATATAGTTTTCTAAACTTCCTGTTACTGTTTTTATGGTGATAAAACGAAAAGAAAGTACTGGGAATAAGTTAACTAAAAATCTTTTTGCTAAATATTTTCTTAGTCTTCAATGATGATGTCTTTGCCTAATTTGCGTTATAAGTGATTTATTTACGGCAGTTGTTTCGATCCCTTGGAACTTTGACGTTGATAACTTTTAATGTCATCTGCATACATGCCCCAAAAAATACTTGGATTCATGCACTGACTGTAGAGTGACACTGCAGCGCCCAACTCACGATCATCTCACGACCTTCTCTCAGCCAATAATCATAAATATGTACAAGGTGCAAAAGTACATCGCATAAGACCTTTCGAGTTTAATCGCTAGAACTATGTTTACGCTAAGGGCGATTTCAGTAATTTCGTCAAATCATTTCGCTTAAAAGCGCAATCGTTTATATTCTATTCAAACCATTAAGTAGTTAATTTCAATCTACAAATTTATAGTTCTGTTTACGCATAAACATACGATGAATAGTAAATAGGAAACAAAGAAAAAAAATTAAGGCCATTTAACGAACAAAAAATTTATGCTTCAGGTTGCTTCCACAGTTACGCTTAAATAACGTATGTTGTTTGCCCTGTTGCCTGCGTGTTTATGTATCCTTTTTGCTGTTTTTTTTTTTTCGTTGTTTCTTACGATGCACTTTTATGTTGTCTTTCAGCGGGTAAGCAAACAAATAAAAGCTATCCTGCACTATCGGCCAGAAAAACGTTGCGGTAAACTCAACCATTCAATGAAATTGCGACTTTTTTCATAATTACCTTTGATATTTATACGGTACAACACTTGCGGTGCAAGAGCATGATAAGTTTGTGTGTGTATAGGTACCATTTGGAAAAATTGTTTTTCTTACACCGATCGGATTCAAAAGCACTTGCCTGCCGGTGTGTCCATCTGTCCGTTTTGGATTCTTGTATTCAGGCCGCAATTTTTGAGATATTTTGATGAAATCCTATTGAAAATTAATTGGATCGGGCGACATTTCCGACCTCTCTCATTTAGACGGCAAAAGAGCTTACTTTTTCATGGTTCGTAATGAAAGATGGTTCATAATTGTAATTTGACATAAAAATCAAATGTATTAAGTTTGGACCGTATAGGGCAATTTTTTATTGTTTTCGAATAAGAGTATTGAGCAAAAAAACGAAATTTTTTTGCTTTTGAACTCAAAGATGTTCTCAGTTTATGTTGCACTGTTGGCGGACGCTTTGTCCGATATTAATTATTTTCAGTACCAACGGGTGTGCACCAACTCTCAATATTTTTGCAAATTTTAAAGCCAATAACTTTATTTTTACGGTTAAGAGAATAGTTAGCACAGACATTACTCAGACGTCCGCTTAGGATTAATTTCAATACGAGCTAAAAAATATCTGGTCTTCAATTTGAAGTTTTTCGTAATCTAGCGCAAAATTCTTTACGCTATTGTGAGCTAATTCCATTTGATTTTCAACTGAAGCTGCAGGGTATTCCAAAATCCGCGTAAATTATCGCAACTGCATTAACTGTGAAGAAATTAACTAAAAGGAATTTATACAGAATGCACTGTAATCATCTTGATCTGGACACTTGGTAGTCGTCCTTTAATGTAAAACATCGAAGCAGTTCTTCAAAAAAAACTGCTAACAGTTCAAGGTCGTCAATTCGCTATCGTAATCAAGAGTTCGACACTTCGAGAAGCTCTACACTGTAGAGCAGTCTTCTTGCTTAGAAAGTTCTATTGTTTCAAACACTAAAGCTTTCTGATAAGAGTTTCTTGGATAGGTTAGGACGTGAAGACGTGAAGACGCGAAGTGATAGTAGGCAGGCGGTAGCAAAATTTGGGAGTCTATTTATCGGATCACTGTAAACTTTATGAATCACAAAAAATCTACAATTTTTATACTCTACACACAGGGGCTTGCTGAGTTTAAGCGGACGTAGAAGGACTTGAGATAGACCCACTGTTTATCATACCGATTCAGAATCCTTTTCTGCCCATATATCCATCTTGTTTTACCAAATCTTTTGATGAGATTCAGTACAACGGATTTTTTTTGAACCAAGGCCAAACGTTATTGAAAAGGGTTCGGATCGGGTCATTTTTTATACCACTTCTTATATAAAACCTCATTTTATAATGAGGTTGTACGAAACGAAGCGGTGTCGGACCGTATCCCGCTGTAGTGTTCTTAATTATTTAAATATAAACCAATGTTTCCCGTAAGTGTTACTCTTTTTGCGTAAGGTTTGTGACAACCTACATGAACTTGTTTTAAGAGTGCGAATATCGAGTGTTCAGCTCTGTATACTTATTCCTTCTTACTTTACAATATAGTGTGCACCGACAGACGCGCATAAATAGATCGACAGAGTTGAAGACAATTAAATTACTGCAGTAATAAAACGGGAAAGTTGCATTTTACACAAACTCTATTAATTGTTTGCGGTTTTTTTCCTTTTTTGCTTTTTTTTTTTTGCATTTAATTACAAATATTTTGCTTAAACTTTTTATCTATAATTAATTTTTTCACACTTAACTAACTGTAGACTTATTATTTACACGTAACGCGAGTGTTTCTTTTTTTTTTTCAATAATTATAAATTAATTATGAATATTGTTTATAAATACAAAAAAAAAAAAAAAAGCGGTTAATATATGCGTCATATGAAAAAAGGGTAAATACATATATCGTATAAAAAAAAAGAAAAGTAAAATGATTTTAATCCAAGGACTTAATACGCATTTAATTAACTTATTTTACATTTACATTTAAAAATATATTATTATTATAATTATTATTGAAATTTATATGACTATTAAAACAAAAGACGACAATTTTTACATATAAACAAAAAGTAAATATTGAAATAAAAAAAAATAAAAAAAAAAAAAACAAGAAGCGAGTGTAAATTAATGAATATATGCATTCATTAAATTAAATTCATTAAATGTAACATAAATTAACATGTGCGTACAAATGTGTCATTTATTTATTAATTTAAATCATACATCAATTTTTCAGCATTGTTTGGTTCTTCGCAGTCAAAGGAAGCCATCATTAAATCTGCAACGAAGAAACGGATAAAAAGAAAAATTAGATTATTAAACATTTTATTTTGCAAAATACTATAAAATTTTATACTTGGAAAGTATTGAGCTTGCTTTGCTTTCGACGAAAATGTTAAGTTAATAAGCAAGTCATACATGGTCAAGTTATTTTTTGTATCCTCCAGATCACTTAGTGAAAGATATTGCGTTGAGACAGACGATGGGTGCATGAGCTTTACGCAAGACAACGCTTCTATTTGGGCGAAGATGCACTTGTTGTACAATCTTCTATGCTGTTTACAAGCATTGTTAAAGACCATAGCCATAGGGGCCCGTCTTTAAGATAATTTTCGCAGATCGAGACAAATTGCAAAAAAAAAATTGACTTGGAAGTCGGGAAAAGTTAAGTAAGCGCAACGGATTGGTACGGCTTGGTGTCATGACCGGGTTAAGGAGCGATCATCAATAGCAATGCAAACAGCACCTACCCGTTCGGATGCCACATGACCTGACAGCGAAGTGAAGGGATTGATAGCTGAAGGGGTTGATAGCGTTCGATATCTTCCATAGCAATGCGAGAGAAAGAGCGTAGCTTGTAAAACCTCACAAAGTCCGGACGGTGAGTAATTCTGCAGCTTATGATTTGCTATGCAATAGAAATTGTCGGAACCAGAAACAATTTGAGAAGACATGACCCGAACGTATATACGAATATATGTTCGTTTGAACATAAGTATACATGATTATATGAATGTGTGAGTGTATAAATGTGTAAATATATGTACATATCAATATATTATTTATATATATAAATATACGAATATCCGAACGTCTGAATAAGTGGATGCATGAATGTGTATAGGCAACAATTTGTTTAAACCTTGAAGGTCTAAATACTTTATAGACAGCCTATGATGAGAAAGTGAATAGGTTTGTCTACGAATCCATTTCGAAACCGCTACAATGAAATGCGAGTAAACGGCAGTGTGTTAATTGTTAGAAAATACCGCTGTGGTTTTACTGAAAGTTCATTATAGCCGATGTAACATAATGGTACATGCGTGTGCGCATGCACACATACATGCAATTATGTCTGCCTGCAAACAAGTGAAATTCCTTTGTGGTGTATCCAAACCAAACCAAATAATACAATATATGCTTGCACTTATAATAGCTTTAATTGTGTTCTCTGTGAATAAAGAACTATATATATATTATAGGTTATCATGCAATTTTATCCAAAGGCAATACCACGCGAAAGTGATGATGATGATCGTTTCGTTGTAGACCCTAACGACGCTTAAATTCTTAACTAACTAACCTACCAGTTAACCAATAAAAACCTATAGCCAAACCTCAAAATGCATACCGAAATGCAAACGTTCATTTATATATATATATGTAAATGTTTAATATGTGTGCCGTACTCTTGCAAACGTTCGAATCGTATAAGTTACCTTAGGGGTATAGTTATACAAAAATGACTGCATTATACTTTGGTGCTTTTAGAAAGAGAGCTCCGTGAATTGGTTTTTGTTTTTGTTTTTTTTTTGTTTTACAAAATACTCAACGAACCAACGATTCCGTACCTACGTACACATTCAACTTTACAATAAGCATGCACGCAATCTCAACGCCAATGTGCAATGCACATATATTTCATTGAATGCATTGCACTTTGAAGTGTGTGTTCCCCAACGGACTACTAAATGAGACTTTGACTATTTTTGTTACTGCTGCTATTGTATTATTAAATACATACTATGGAAATTGTTACCAACACTATTTAGTTAGTGCATCCATTCGCTTTCTTCTTGTTAATTCTTGGTCAAATGCTGTATGCTATACACCCCAGCTATGTATATATATAGCTGGATATACAATATATCCACCGTTCCATAAAGTTTCCATAACTTTTAGTAAATTTGTTAAAAAACTACTTGAGCTTTTCCCATTCGCTTTCGCCCTCATTCTAACAGTTATAAAATAATCGCAAATGTTTTTTTTTAAACGACATCATCGTACGTTTTCTCTCATTTGTTTCATAAATTGTTATGCTTTTATGGTTGGTAAAATTTAATTTAAAGTGCATCGAGGGAATTTTCTTTTCTTTTTTTTTTTTTAAACATTTATGTTCTACAATACATTCTTCACTCATACGCCACGGTGCTCTGGTAAAATTAATTTTAAACAAGTGAGAAAACTTCATTTGTTTTGGCATAAAACTTGAACGATTACGCGTTTGAAAAGGAGAGAGAGAAAGAGAGAAAGAGAAAGAGAGAGAGAGAGAGAGAGAGAGAGAGAGAGAGAGAGAGAGAGAGACGTTCTAGTAACATTGAAGTTAAAACAGACTTTATTCATACATACGGTTACGCCCTGCTTATTCACTATGTGTAAAAAATCAAATGCTGCTTACTTTCAAATTAAATACAAATAAGCTGGCAGGTAGATAAGGAAGATGCAGAGTGTCTAGATCCGGCGCATACATAGTTTCTAAGCAATATATTTATTTGTAATTTATAAAATGGTAAAATATAAATAGGGAATTCTATTAGCATGATTTGTGTGTCCGAAATTATGATATACATTTACAAATTAATTTCATTAAATGATTTCTAGCATATGATATAAACATATGTACAAACAGAATCAATAATGTATGATACGGTATGTATATACTACAGCGCACAGAATAAGTGTTCGTTTGTTTTTTTCCCATTCAATCACCAGACAGACGTATACGCCAGCAAATGGCCTCTCCTTTACAAAGCAGGAAGGCGAACCTCCTTATGAATCGATGTTAGCTGTTTCGTATTCTACTTAGAGACAGCAATTGTTGGGACATTTTGATGGAAGTTGGTACACTGACGCATTTGGTTCAAGGACGAAGAAGAGTGCTTCTAATCGGATACCTTTTCACTTATATAAATAACTGTAACGTGCTGTATAGTATTCAATGGTGGGCAATAGCCGTGTATAACGCTTTTGCGTATTATTATTTAATGATTATGAAAGAAGGACGACAGCCCTGTAATGGTTTTAGTAAGGAACGGAGACTTGAAAATAGGTTCACGGGAAAGGAACGGATTATAGATTGTACAGACGTTCTACAGAGCATGACCAATCAACAGAGTGTTTAAGGGACGAACACCTGACATACATTAGATGAACGTTGCTTTTTTGTTTTATTATTTTCTTACTTTTCATTTCGTAACGTCAGAGGTAGACCGTGGCAGCCAGTAATAGTCCCTACACTCTGACGTTAGAATGTGTTTAAATAATTTCTACAAACTTAAATTTTTTTTGCTGTGGACTCATTTGGAATTTCTAAAAAATATAATAAAAATTTGGAAAAATCAAGTGAGGAACATATCGCTCAACTCCACCACATGGGGTTGAGCGTTCGCTGAACTTAGGTTAGATGTGTGCGAAGAATGTGTTTGTTACATATCGAATTAAGCCTTAGACGTCAGAAAGCACTCCGCTGGCTGCCCACGTTTGTCCCTAGTGCAAAAAAGCACCTAAAAATTCCATCAACGGAAACTCGATTTGCTGCTCGATTAATCTTCTTAATTAACCATTACGTAGGGAAAACGACTTGTATCCAGAGATGAGATCATTGTGCAATTTGATGATTTTGACAAATCTTTCTCTAAAAAAGTTACCGATATGTTAGAGAACCGTTAGACTGATTAGATCGAAGCGGATCGTGTAAAAGAAAGTGATATCTTACTTGGGTTGAAAACTTTGGTATGGTATTGCGTAAATAGAAATTTGAATTCTTAGCGCCAACTTTCATAGTGTAGCTTAAGCTTATGTTTCACATTAGACTTCGTCTTCTTCTTTTTCTAATAATCTTCAATTTTCTAAGAGCTTAAAGTTAAAAAGACTAGAAGTTGCATTTAATAATAGGTCCGTTCTTCTGGGTTCTCCATATATCGCGACATTGAAGTCTGCTCAACAATGCAAATATATTTAATCTGTTGTTCTCCTCTCTTAGCTATAATGCGTCAGGACCTCTTCATCTACCAAGTGTGACAATTGATATGAAATTGGTAGCACTAAGCCTAACGGGAAGAGATAATAGAAGAAAAACAATCGATAAAATCTAGTACTCTCCCTTTCTAACGGTTCTTACTTCAAAGAATATTGAAACTATTTCTTATGTGATGGTTACTAGTAGCCTTGCGATGTTTTAGAGTTTCCTCAAAACAGACTTTTTTTACATTAAAATTTCTCGTAAATATTTCTGTAAATCTATTTTCAAATATATTACAAATTTTAATATATTAAATAAATGTTATACGTATAGAAAATAACGTTACTCTCTGACAAATGAACATTGTTATATACTTAACGACATGCGTATATAACACAGATGAACATATGTTAGGGTTTCTTTTACTTTGTTGCTCTTCTCAGCAAGTCACTTGAAAGAAAAATGTTGATTATCATGAACTACATATGCAATTTGTTCACATTTTTCATAAAAATTTTCATGTATGTGAATTATTTATTTCTTTTTTTTTTTTATTCTTTTTTTATAGACATTATTTTTCAACTCCTAACACATATTTACTTGGCAGTGTTTTTTTCTTTCTTACGTACATGCATCTTATATAAAATTTAAAAAACAATTTTCTCTACTAGAAATTGGAAGTGAAAGATTTCCTTCTATATTGGATAGAATATATTTTTGAAGCTTTGCTTTAAGTAGAAATAAAAGAAACATTGCTTGCTTCTTATCTTAGTTTAGCTTTAATGAAAGTAATATAAATGCATTGGTTAAGAAATTTTAAATAAAACACGCCATACATACGATTGCAAAATTTATTTTATAAAATAATTTAAAAAAATTATTACATCGTACATTTTACACTTTCACCCCTTCTGTGACAACGGACCGGCATCATACTTTACCAGACATTAGCCGAATCAGCCTCCGTAAAAAAAATGGCTGCCGTACATAGACGGCCGTAGCCGCCGGGAAACACCAAGTGGCTGATGCATATGGAC